CCCAAGGGCATGTACACATGAGTGGGTAAAATGGTCAGGGAGTCTAAGAATGATATTTCTGGGACTCCTTGACATGAGAGCCCCGTGCACCCTGGTGCCAGAGATAGTGAAGTCCTAACAGGGGTTGCAGTTAGATTGGGAGGATATGGGAATGACATGGGTGGTGGGATTCAAGTTTAGATGAAGACTGAAATGTTTGAACAGACTATGTGAAGTGGTTGTATCTTCATTACCTGAATATATTATGGGGGTGAATATTGTGTCTAACTGGTCAGTGCTTCGCCTACCCTAGTGTTATACAACGGAAGTGTCGTAAAGCCACCCTTCAGCCATTATTAAGTAGACAGCGCACAACGTGGGCTGTTCCTAATTTGACAGGGATAGCAGTGCAGACATATTATCTGTACAGTGACACTGGGTGAGGTGTGGGGTGTGGACTGGGGCTCATTACAAAAGCCTGGGAGTGCCACCCAGCAATGACCACTGGGATTGCTGTTTGAAAATTCCAGAACATTCCCATTTGAAAGACAATTCCTAGCTTGCTATTTGACGTTAATTGAAATTGTTCCTGTGACTGAAGGACATAAAATAATCTTGAAATACCCATAATGTCTTGGGTAATGTCAAAAAATATCCTAATGGGGAGGGGAGTGCTCAGAAGAGTTTCATAATAAAAAAGAAGTCATTTATATAGGAAATGGTACCAAGGGAATCCAAGGAGAGGTACTGAGGAGCAGGGAGCTCCTTCTCCTTTAGGACTGAATTTGGAACCATCTGACGTGCTGCTGGACCCTAAAGCCACTTGGTTATTGCCATATAAACAACATAAACAACTCTCTATTAACCAACAAAGAGCTGCTTGGTTTATGGGTAGCAATATAATATATATATATTAAAGCCTCATCAGGGTTAATAAAATGACTGGCTTGGGGATGGATTTAACTAACCATAAGCTAACTTTTATGCTAAATGGTTCTGTACAAGTTTATTATAAGGTACAAACAGCAACACAGCAAGAGAGAAAAAGAGTAATTAACCTAGCACCAAAAGGTGAATGTCTATGTCATGGCTTTATAGGGTGAATTGATTAGTTGTTTACCATTGCTTTGTTAGTAAATACTGTATCTGTAATTACAGATGCCCAGACAAAGGTGATTGTTTTGCTGTGAACTTCCTTGGTTGGCAATCCTCTGTGTGTGTTGTCATACATAGATGCTGGGAATTAACATTGTCCCTGACTATGTGAGGACAGGATGACTGGAATCTTGACATTCAGACCCTTTGGGACTCTTCCCCAAGTGTCTCCTCTCCTGGCTGATTTTAATCTATATACTTTCCCCATAATAAACCATAACCATGAACATAACAGCTTTCAGTGAGTTCTGTGAGTCCTTCTGACAAATAGTTAAAACTGAGAGTGGTTTTGGGGGCCCCTTGAACTTGCGCTTGTTGTCAGAAGTGAGGGCAGTCTTCTGTGTGGACACTTTGTGTCCTCTAGAACTTCACAGTTGTCCATATTTTATTCAGGGGATGACGTGAATATTTACATTATGAATGCTGAAACCTCCAGCCTTCTACTCAGCAATCAGAATGCTGGCGGCCAGGCAGAAGAAGCAGGATATGGGTGGGGATAATCTGGGCTATATGATCATTTCAAGAACGAAGACATCATAATGATGATTATATAGGCTATCTTTTGCTGCACAAAAATCCACCCCAATACTTTGTGGATTGAGACAAACCATGTATTATTATTTGTAAGTTTGAGGTTGGCTGAGTGGTTTTGTTATGGGCCGGCTCATCTGGGGCTTGATGTTCTGGGGTAGCTTCATTCACATGTCAGTTGGTTGGCAGGCTTGTTGGTCTAGTGAGGTGCTCACTGTCATGTCTGGCAGTTGGCTTGATGTCAGCTGGAAAAGCCATGTGTCTTTCATCACCCATCAGGCTAACCACGCTTGTTTATATGGTGCCAAAACCGTCCCTAGTGGCAGGAGAGGGCAAGCCCCAATCCATAAGGCTTTTCCCACCCTTCCTTGTATCACACTTGCTAATGTCCCATTGGTGAAAGCAAATCGTGTAACCAAACCCAGATTCAAGAGGTAGAGAAACAGACTCCACCTCTTGATTGATAGAGCAGCAAAATCACATTGTAAAATAGTGTGTATCGGTCGGTTTCTCTAGAAACAGAACCAATAAAGCCTGAAATCTGTAGGGCAGGCCCACATGCTGGCAACTCAAGCAGGGTTTCTATGTCACAGTCTTAGATGGATTCATCTCTGGGAAACCTCAGTTTTTGCTCTTAAGCCTTCAACCATTTGGATGAGGCTCATCCTTATTATGAAAGATAATCTGTTAATAAAACGGTAAGTAATCTGATTGCAAAGGTGAATCATGTCTATGAAATACCTTCACAGCAACATCTAGATTAGTCTTTGAACAACTGGGTTCCATAGGTTAACTAAGTTGACACACAAAGTTTCACCATCACAGAGCAAATATTCAGCTCTCGTTCAGTCTGTATACTCCATTGATAGTTCCCTAAACAAATAACCAGATTGCTCAGAATTCACCCAGCGAATTCTATGCTCAAAAAGCTCTATGCACGGGCCTGGAGATCCCAAAGAGCTTCTTAGTGTCTCTCTCTTAAAAATGAGCACACAACTGAAGATGACCAGATACCTGGAAGACAAAGGCTCAAACAAGTAAACAAAGATTAAGAATAAAGAAGGAAACATGGAAAAAATTATGAAGGGAAAAGGAAACATCCTTTAAAAATCTTATGAATCTCTTCAGAGGACAGATGATAGTGTATCCATGAAATAGGAACAGAATACATAAAAAATAAAATTAAAGAATTGAGAAGGATTCTTAGAAATTAAAAAATGTAAGAGCACAATTGAAAACTCAGTTGAGACGCTGGAAGATAAAGTCAAGCAAACCTAAAACGTATAGGAAAGAAGGGTGGGGGGATGGAAAATAGGAGAGAATTTGATTAAAAAATTAGAGGACTAACCAGAGGTCCAACATCAGATGAATAACAGCTCCACAGAGAAGCAGCTGAAGAAAAAAAAAAAAAAACGGGAGAAATATGATCATATAAGTATATGAAGAAAATGACAGAAGAATGTGAGTTTCCAGATATAATTCTGTATGGTGGAGTCTATCACCTCCTTATGATCTGAATGCATGATCCAGTTACTTGAAAATTCCTTGTCTCCCATCGGACTCGGAGAGATTTACACAAGAAGCGTGTTGGAGAAGGAAGGGAGCCGAATTGGGGGAAATGAGAAGCTGAGGTGTACAGTCCCGGGGGATGATCTGGAGCTCAGATGACTCTTCAGGGACGTCCCAAATTGAAGCAAGGGGGCTAAATCTTCACACCCTCCCCTTCACACCAGCCCTGGCATGCAACAGGTCCCCGAGGAAGGGACCATGCCTGTGGGTGAGGCAGCTTGCTAGCTGAAGGCAACTCTAAGAGCAGAGCTCAGCTGAGGCTCCGTCAGTGGCCCAACTTCCAGGAGCCTCAGAGTCCTGAAGGGGGAATGCACTTCCTCAATTCACTTGGAAACTTCTAGTTTTAAGTCCTTGGAAGTCCAAATGCACACGTGGTCTTGGATGGTGGTCTGCCTACTAGGGGAGCGTGGCGCGGGCTGCCTGTGCCAGGCCCAGGCTTGGTGAGGAGGCCCAGCCCTGGCCACAGTTGTGGGGCGCTGCCTGGGAAGGGAGTGTGAAGTCTTTCTGAGGAGCAGCCTCAAAAGCCCCATTGTTGTCACACAGTCAGTAATAGGGTTTTTATCAGTAATACTGCGGCCATGTTGCCTCCATATGGCCGACTCCCACACCCAGCCCTCACTCGGTCTGAATTCAAGCAGAGCACAAGGGGGTGCTATTGACGGGCTCTTCAAACCCCTAGTACGGGCTGTGCCGATTCAAAGGGCATCTAAGACATTTTAAACATTTCACATGTATGGAGGGGATAAACTAGAAGTGTTTGCATTTTAAATGATTTTTCAATTTGCAAGAGATTTATCATAATAAACTTTCTTATTAGGTGTTAATATCAGTCCAGTTACAAAAATTGAATGAATGTCTCATTTGTTACCAAAACTGCTTCTATATTAAATCCCTATCCCATTTATCCAGTCGCGCCTGTTCCATGCAATGTTTGTGAGATGAAGGGAAAAGAAGGGAGATCCACACTGAGCTCCTTCTGTATTCTACAGTCAACCAAGGCACTTTACACACACGCGCGTGCGCACACACATGCACGCACACACAAGGTAGAGATTATCTCCTCCTTGTGCATGAGGAAACTGGTTCGGAGGGGTTAAGAAAATGGCCTGGTATCATGCAATGCCAGCAAAAACCTCAGCAGTTGCATCCTCTAACGCCCGACAGCACATTTTCTGGAGTTTCACATACATAGTTTCCTAGGTAACCAGCACACAGCCTCCAGGACTGCATGAAAGGCGGGGGGGGGGGGGGGGGGGGGGGGGGGGGGG